TTTTTTTTTTTAAATGTGGGTCTGGGCCCACGATATCTCTTAGTCGCTGAATCGATTACTTCATTAAGCTAATCTATAAATCAGTAATCAAACCAGAAAGGTACTCTATTGGACCAAAAAGTTCACTCTTTCCCATTCAAAATTGAAAAAAGGTCTTTTTATCCGTATAAGGATAATTGTTCATTAGTTTTCTTCTTTTATTTTTTTTAATGTAGCTTACTATATTATTGTTATACTATTAGTCGCTCTGACCTACGTCTGTTATGATTATTAATACTTTAACAATATTGGTAGCTGCTAGGTAAGTATATAAATTATGAATGAAAAAAATTCAATTTTTAACACGTAAATATTCATACCTAACATAATATATTATATTATGGTTGTACATATACAGGTGTCCCATATAGATTTGACAAGTGAAATAATTTTTGTTCTAGTGAATATTTTAAGATTTGTTTTCAAATATATTTATACTCTATACTGTTATAGTTTATAGATGTGTAGTAAAAAAAATCCTAAAAATATTTACTAGAACAAATTTGTTTTATTCTTTAAAACATTGTGGGACACCTGTATAAATATACAGCTAACATGTATGCTAATAGCGAGTCAACATGGACTTACTAAATAAAACAACCTGTATCTTAGTATAATTAAACACATTTAACACAGTACTTGTGTGCAATTACAATTTTAAACACATATACACCGTCTAAATACTGTAATAACAACCATAATCTGTGTTCTGTTATTATAGTAATTATAAATCGATTTTGTTCGACAGTAATAACATACTTGTATTATATATATATACAGTAATAATACCTATATTATCTTAAGGGCATTGCAAAAGTAATATGCCTTTATATTTTAATATTATTATTATCATTATATTGTTGCTTGATTGATATTACTCACACTGACTTTTTTTTTACATGGTATATTATGTTTTAGCGCTACAGAGTTTATAATCAATTATGTCCAGCACTGACCTTTTGTAATAAGGTGTATAGCTGTAGGCTATTACATATAGTTTTTAGCTGTTGTGTATATTTTTTAAAATATATTTAGTTATCTCTTTCTGAAAAAAAAGATAGGCGAAATTTCAGACATTATTTTCTAGTATCCACAAGTGAGCTGAGGCAGTCTTTATTTTTTAATGACAATAAAAGACATAACAGACTCTTTCGCCTTGTTTAGATGTGCGGGTCATAACTCGTAAGTAAAATGTAAATTAAGCTTATTGTAGATCATCATCATCGGTGGTTAAGGAATAAGTTCTTATATGTGTGTTATATAATATATTATACATGTATACACTATATGTATATAATATATTTTTAAAATTATATAAAGTCAGCTCAACCTTTCACACAAAAAATGTTTAATAAGTTGTAGCATTTTACAGTTGTATGATAGGGTATCTGCATTTTTATACTTTGCAAATATTGTGTATATATATATATATAAGATATTATGTATATTATGTATTATATACCTACATAGGTACAAAATATACACGTGTATTTTTTATCAAAATATTGTTGGTATTACAAAATTAAAACAAATTAAACCCACTTACATTTTTAATGTTGACAATTTAGAAGATAAAAATATAATTTGTATAATATACATAATTATTGTTACCAGCTTATAATAATAATTATTAAAACCAAAAATTCATCATAATGAATTGAGACTATACTGATCATAATCTCTAAACCTATTTAAAGTAATCGATTAATTAATAATTTCAAAACCATCGTGCCTTGAACCCGTTAGTGCGTCGTGTAGCGTGCATTGGCTTGTCTATTATAATAATAGGTATTTACTATTTACTACATTGTTTATCATGTATTTATTATAATATATCCATGAAAGTTTTAATACATTCATACAATTATAACTTTACATATTTAGCAATATTTCTTGTAGCATAATGTTAAAAATCACCAAAGGTTTCCAAATTCACAGTAACCTTCAAAGCGAAGCCGCATGTTATTATATTTTGTACGTCTTTTGGCGACCTGATAATTTTCGCTGCACCTACTAAAATTCGGCGTAAAAATACTAATATTACAATTTAAGACGCAAAAGTGTGAAAACTTATAGATGGCCTACAGGACTATGCGTTCATCAATCAATGACTGTGTGGTTCAGTAAACGTGTAAAGTTTGCCGTTATATATTATGACAGCACGGCTGTTGGCTGTTTGTAATTGGATTAAACGCACATTACACGAGGAATAGATTAAGCAATATTGATTACAGCATTGGTCTGTATGACTGTATATATAATAAAGCGAGACGTATACAAAAATGAAACGTCTAAGGCTACATTCTACGACATGAGGTCAACATTACTATTATAATACTTTTAGGTTAGGTATATGATAATTTTTTATAATAAAAAATGTTAAAAAAAACAAACTTTTTCATATGAGGGCTTTAACTTTACAAGTGATTACCCAAACAGCAAACAAATGTTATATGTTTTCAGAACTTTGTTTGAATTATTAAATCTACGAAATCTTACAACCATCATATTTTAAATACAAGTAAAACATTATAACCATTATACTATAATGCTAATTATACTTCGTGAGTAGTATTTTTAAAACATTAACTATTATAAATAATAGTACCTACATATAATTTATTATACATTAAGTATTACAATATTCTTATTTATATTTGGAGACTTAAACGAACGCATATTTGTTTTATTATATACATATTATTATAAACTCTACTTAAGTAGGCATTAATCCCATACTATATCCATAATAATAATGTATACCATCCATCTCATATTTGTAATTAAAACATAATATACTTGTACCCGATTTCGGAGGGTATAATCTGTAAAGTAGCTAATTAATATGTATGTCAGTGGCAGTGTGAAAATATTATTTTTTATACTATCAATTTATTATATTTTAATTAACTTTTATAACGTATAATTGGTCCGATTTTTTTTTTCAAATTTGCGTGAAAACGAAAAAGAAATACATAGTTAGTCCAATTCAAATTATAATTAATATAGGGACACAATACATTTCTAGGCGTAATACCTAAATAAATAGTTAGGCCGACTAAATTTTTAATAAAAATTGCACGTTATTATCGACGCACATGAATAATGCAAAATATTTTCTTCACACTGAACACAACACACTATTGTCTTAAGATAACCATTAAACACATGTATAAATTATTTTATCTGTTTGACAATAATATTAAGATGAAGAGAGTATAAATGTATAGTTTACAATAATAAAAAAAATAATAGAGTTTAAAATCATTTGCAGATTTAAGATCATTTAACAAGATACAAATACTTGTTTTTATTATTATACTTATTAACAATTATAAAAAATCGTATAAAACAAAAAGAATATCAATATAAATTATAAATTGTACATTTCAATGTATGCAAAATTATTGTAACTTTAAATATTGGGCATTGATAATATTAATACCTACATTGGGATGGATTTTAACAAGTTGTCAAGTTTCTTATTAGCTTATCTATACATTGTTGGCTCATAAATCATGTTGCACTAAAAAAGTGACAACAAAATGTTGTATAGTTGACTTAATTTAAAAAATTGTAGTTATGTTTACTTTAATTTAGTTAGCTTAATGTTGGTTGTGGTATACTATAAAGTGTTTGATTGTCACTTATTTAAACAATTATATACTTGGTAAATAAACAAAAATTGGTTATATTAATGGACATAACCGTTTACCGCTAAATGAAGTAACAGTAGATTCCTTTTTGCGCCAAATTTGTACCTTGCCCTTTCCGCCAACAAAATATAATTCAAATCAGTCGATAAATTTCCTAATAAAAAGATGTTACATCAGTAGACCGCGGATATGAATGAATCACAGAAGAACTAGTTTTTTAAACAAAATTTATAATATAGCTATTTCATCTATATTTTTAGTGTTTTTAATTTTTATACTATTAGCCATTATCTGTAAAAAAAAGTTTTTGTAGTTTATTTATTTTTGAGGTTGATGTCTAATCTTACTTGAATAATTGATACACGATAAGAACGTTTATTAATAAATTATTAATTCCTTTTTTTTTTGTATCAAAGTGTCGCATTGATGCATAACCAATTCTGCTATGGCGTACTTACTTAGAGGGAAAGACCTCGCCCATAGCAGTTTTGTTTTACAAAAACGTCAATATTTACACTGTATGACCAAAAATACTTTTAATTTGTGGATTATTTCGATGAATCCGAATTTGGTCTCGGAATATCATTTATATAGTTATTATTTCAATCACCCCCAATGTTGTACAGACATTTATTTGATAAATTATATGTAACTCGTAAAAGATATATCTATCTTTAAGATATTTATCCATACAGTAATAATAATAATAATAAAATATAGAAATATTTGCCAACAATATTAGCCTGCTACAAATCGCGTATGCTGTACAGCGACAACCTGAACGATCGCGGCGGCAACGGCACACAAAAGCGCGGGCCAGGCAGTTTTCACGTCGGCCGGCCGCGCACTGAGCAAAGAGCACTGTACAACTCGCGGGACGTCTTTCGTCGGCGTTTTAGGGCGCCCCCCACCCCCGGGATGGCACCGTCTGCCCGGCCGAACGCGCGTATAGGGCCGCCGACCGGCGTCGAGCCAACCCGTTACCGTGCCCCACTGCCGAGACGACCCGGGCGCCGCCCCGTTTCGCCCCGCTCGCCGGCCGTCCGCAACGCCCCCCGAACGCGCCGCGACGGTACTCGGTCCCCTCCGCCGCCGCCGCCGCCCACTCGCGCCCGCAAACTGGGCCACATACCGTGGTAGGTACCTGTATGTGCGTGTGGCGGCGGCGGCGTTTGCGCGGGAGAGATGAGTCGCGTGTCACCCGGCGGAAAGCAAAAGTGCACAGCGCGGTGCCGTCGCGATCTACGCCGCCGGTCCGGCCGACACAGGGGTGGGGACGACGTCGACGGACAACGGTAACGGGCGCGGTGGCGGCCGAAGACGCGCCAGGCGAAACTGGGTTGTCCTCCGGGCCGGCAGTGGAACAGACGCATCCGATACGCGAACAACACACTCGGACTCACTGTAACGATATTGTACCGACCCGTTCGCTATTGTCGCTGTCTCGTCGTCGTGGTCGTTGTCGTTTTGTCGCCGTTGTTCGTGTTCGATATTATTGTTTTTCCCGTTGCGCTAAAAACGGCTAACACGTTATTTTCAACGCAATAATAATAATAACAACCTGACCGTCACCTGCAGCCGCCCGCACACATACCTACCTACCTACCTACCCTACAGCCGGTGACCGGCGCGGCGGTCTCTATATTGAAAACACCGCCCATAACAGCTATGTGTATTAAAAAACCGCACAAGTCAAAATTGGTTTTACTATAGCGAAATTTGTTGTTAATAATTTTTTCGCAACGGCTAGTGCCGATCATGTCGATCCGCTGTTGTGATCGCGTACGGTACCGCGCCTAAGTGTCCAGTGTACCGCTCTGTGTCAGGATAACAAAATCTTGGGATCAATTGTCATACCACAGGTAACGATCATTTTGTTTTATTACTGTCAGATCATATTATAGTATTCATTTTGTTATCTAGACTATAGTTCGGAACTTTATTATTCCATTTTTTTATCGTCTCAATTTACTTGTACCTATCCTATATTTCGTGGTAGTTTTCGAAAATGTATTTGAACAAAAACAATAACTAACAAATGTAAAATAATTATTAATTTTATAAAACACAACCAGCTAAAAGTGAAATCGCGCTTCAAATATTTCGTTTTGAAAAATTATGCTAAACAGGATTAATCCTAAAACCCTTATAAAAAAAAAATTATCCCATACAAATGTAAACGACTCTTAAAATATAATATTATTTTAAAAATAAATACGTCACTGCAAATTTTACATCGCAGAAAAATAAATAGTGTACTATTCTATTTATGTTGCTCGAACCCAAAATTTGTTTTTAATAAATTGGTTCAAAGTAATAATAGAGATGATAATAATTATTTTATAAAAAATAAAATTATAAAATAATTAATAGATAGTTATTAATCTGATATAAAAAAATTAACTAAAATTATCAAATTGTTCATCGACATAACTCACGTAAATTAACCGTTTTATTTTACCTAGTGCATATTTTAATAAACTATAATTTCCTCCCTTAAAAATAAAAATTTTAATTATTTTAAAACCACAAAATCAACTAATCAATTTTAATAAGAAAGTCAATGTTTTTCCAAATTTGTAATTGTTTATTGCTTGTATAAATAAGAATTATTACTACGTAATATTATTGTTGAATTAAAAACCAATAGATGGTAAATATAATAATGTAATACAATATTATTATAATATTATTTTTATTATAATACCTATTATTACAACGAAAAGTTAAAACAGTATTAAACCAGCTTAATTTACATTGTAGTATGACTTAATTCGTATCCATTGCTGTACCTCTTAATTATATTGTTATTTCATATTATTTATACTGCTACTAAATTTACTTACCGCCGAAACTGTGACAGAAATAATAAAAACATATTCTATTAAGACAACCTAACCTTTCAGAGTAAAATATTTAATATAAATATATTCGTTGATTTTAAAATGTATTTTATAATATAAATACAATTTTAACATTCATAATAATAACACTTTCAACCAAAATTAATTAAATTTAATAATATTATAAATATCTACGTTGTTTCACGAACAATATAATAGTATCTAATAATATCATAGTAATGGCTAAATAGAAATAAAAAGAAAACAATTTTTGTTGACAAATTAACTTTAATGATGTAATTGCCTTTTTAAAGTACTAATATTGTATATTATACATAAATAAATCAGTAAAAGATTGCTGATTTTTTATCGAGAGACAATAATCAGGTTCTGAAATGAATAAAATATCAATTGGATTCATTATAATATTAAGACTGTGCCTATTTTGTTTTAAAACAATGCTCTACGAAAATAGGGATGGACTTCACTCGTAAAATTGTCAAGTTTCAATGTTATTGTTTTTATAAAAAAAGAGGAGATAACAATAACGTTATGTATAAGTTATAGTCTTTTTAAAGTTATAATTACCGATGTTGCACCATAACCTCTTAAATATAAACTGTCCAGATTCATTAGCATTGTATGTAGTATAGTATAATTTGTTGAGATCAATTGGTCTTATTCAAAAACAACAACAGCAAACAAACATAATTATTTGCAATTTGCACCGTAATAAATAGTCGAAACTGGGCCACTTGAAAATCAATTTTAAATGTTACGACAGACAACATGAGTTGTGTTTATTATATTGTTTGAATTCTGTTTACGCGTTGTAATTAAAGAGTACAAATTAATATTATTTTTCTAATTTTTCAAAAATTATTATTAATTAAAATTGCCGTGTGTACACATTTTGCTATTGACTTAATTAGCGCGGAAAATCGGCGCCGTTCGGTTATGATTCGTTGGTTGGTCGCGTTGTATGTATATTATTGTCACAGATTTTTCATCCGTTCCCTTCGTCACTTTTGGTTTCGTTGACCGAGTTTTCTCATCCGAATTCACTTTTCCCAATCGTCGTCATTGTTCCCTGTCGTCTCCATTCTTCGCGCGGTTCTTTTGTCACGAATGATTGATTAGTTCTTTTTTGTAACGTTGCTAAATAACGATAATAAAAACCGCAAGTGTACCGAAGAAGCGAAAAAAAAAACCAGCCACTCTGTTTCGTAATGCGTGTACCTGTAAAAAAAAAAAGAAAAAAGAAACACGGGCTGTGACAAAGAACAATACGGAATTTGACGGATTTTCGGCCGCATATTAAATTCTTCACGAAAATTGTACATACAGCGATGCTGAGCATTAAGGCGTGTGTGTCACAGCAACGGGTCGTTGTGCAATAGGACTCGATTTTTTCCGCACGGCCGCTCCTAAACGGCACGTTTTTTTCTCTTTTTTTTTTTTGTTTTTTTGTCCTGCGCGCGATATCTTTCGCGAACATTGTTTAAAATAATAATAATATTATAATATATAATAATGATAAAATGCCGCCGACGCCGCGTCCATCCCAAACAAACAATGAGCGCAACACGGACGATGAGAATAGCACATCATGTCGGGGTCATTGCTAGGTTTAATACGGAGAACCTACGTGACCGAATGGGGTTTCACGATTTTTGAAACCTAAACCACTTGTCGCGAGATCCGTCTCGGACTTTGTCGAACTCGATGACCGCCCACGCGATAAGAAAAAATAATCGCCAGCCGTTGCCTACGTGTAATACCTACCTAATATTGTGTAGTAAACTCGGTTTTGGTAACCGTTAACCGGTCGAAATGAATCGCGGGTTTGATAAGGTAGGCACAATAAGGTACAAACAGAGCTCACGAAGACCCGGCTTACTTGGGGGGACCGTAAAAATTAAAATACAAGAAAACCCGCTAACGTGAACTAATATAAATGATAACAAATCTTGGTACATTCATAAATTACAATGAACGTATGTATAATATTTGCTGCTTGATACGTCATGTTTATGAGTTAATTGTTCAGCGTTTTATACAGACAAAAATGTGAAATTCAATGTATCGTTTATCGCGCACACAAACATATGAGATCGATTTGTTGGCTCTTATGTTTTAATGTTTGCATTAATTCGTGCTCTCTTAATTTTGAATACAAACCATTGCGTTCGGCACAAATAGGATGTGTACAACGGCGCATCTTAACAACAAAATATAGTAACTATAACGTCGTAGAAAAATATATGGGTTAATGTGTCCGTGTTATATAGCCGTACGGTACATACCTTACCTACGTTGTACCGAACGATCTCAGCTACAAACGAGGCATTGTTCTTGGGACGATCAAGAAGCGGCGTGTCCCTATCATCTTAGCCGTCGTCGCGGGGTTAATGATCGCCATGGCTACCTGTTACGTATACCGATCTAATATAATAATGATATTATTATTGTTATTATTATTATTATTGTTATTATTATCCTAGGGGAAAATCATTATGATTGTCTGCGGTTGCCCAATCGACGGTCTTGCGAGCCTTGTGTAAATATATATATATATATATATTTACCGTCCGTATACCGGTACCGTTTCGACACGTTCCTGGGTACTTATATTACACTGCGGCGATAATAATATATTCGTGTAATGTAATAATAACTATGCGTACAACACAATAATATAGTAATAATAATAGTCGTAATCATTCCGATTCGCAACGAACACCGACGACGGTGATAACATTACATTGTTGTGCTCAACCGATTTTCGACATTTTCTTCGACCTCCAAAAAGTAAGTGTTGATTGTAAAATTTGTTAAAAAGTTAAGTCGCGACGACCGCGAAACAATATACCGGCGGTGTGTCTAATACGACCGAAAGCATATTTTCCTCCTTTGTAATTTTTTTACCCACAGCAGCGTCGTCGTGCGTTTGTACTTGTAATAATTATACCGACGTACGCGCATTACATTAGTGAATAGTGGGTAGGTATTATATACCATGATCGCGGCGCTATGGGTGGCAAACAGATAATTTCCAAGCAGTAAAAAAAAAAACAAGAGTCGTTATTTACTCTTTATATTAAGGTCACGTTTTAATGAATTAACTAAAAGCCATTTAGTAATGTATATATATATATATATATATTGTTATACGGCATTCAACTTTATCGTCCGTGTGGCGCATGTTATAAATGTAAAAGCGGTATATATGCTTTTATCGAAAATAATAACGCGATAAATAATAGAAACAAAATGTTTTTTGGTACTAGGTTCAACTTTTAAATCTACTCTGAAACGGTGTATATTAAATTCCCGTTGAGAACGATACGGGTTAGGTCCTATCTCGTCTGAAATTTAGGTTTCAAAAATAAAACACCAATTTATTTAACTCCTTAGACGAGTTTGATTGTCAATTAAAAGACACTCGTTTACAATAATATTTACAAACCATTTACACGATTCGCGATAACTGGCAAGAATTCGTTAAACATAAAATGCACTGATAGTAAAGCGTCAAACTCCAATTAGAAAATGTATACATAGTTCCCGCGCCTATGCGAGGTACAGGACACGGAGTGTACATATGCACCTCGTCCGGGATCAAGCAGTGAAAGACACAGCTTAGACTCGCGTGCCGAGTGACAATTGAGGTAACCACTGCATGTCTCTGAACTATCCATTACAATATGCATCATGTTGAAACATTCGTTCCGAAATGATTGTTGCAATGTGTAACTGAATCATCATACATGCGCGTGTTTAGTCGACATTTAATTTATATAAATTATTTTGAGTTTGAAAATTCTGGAAGAAAATATACTTAAAAAACTGACGCAGTTCAAATACAGTTAATATAAAATATAATAAACTCGTATTCAAAATAGTTAAAAAGTGTATACATTTTATGTAGATAAAATCTAAAAATAGTTTACAAATGTAAATATAAGTCTATTATGTGCTACTAAAAGTTTAATTTAAGAAAATAAATCGTGTTAAGG